AATTTGGCCTTCTTGTTCTGCACTGGTCGCTTCCAACTGTTGTTATCACTCTCCGCCCTTGCTCAGACTCCAGAGTCTATTCAACCTTCTTATTCTCGTCTTCATTGAGTTCTGTTTTTAGGCGATGTTTTATCTTTTTTTTCGCCTTGATCAGTCATAATTTCATCTTAGTGCATTTGGTTGGTGAGGCTAAAAATGCTTTGCCTGATGGTTGCCTGTGAATGATCCTTGCATTGGTTCTCGTGTGTCTCAGATTTGTCGCACTTCATCCTCGGTTTGTGTAGTCCTTCATTTAGCCTATGTACGATTTTTTTACTGGCGTCGCGACGACCAGTCGGGGCGCAGCCAATATGCAGAGGAAACTGCCATGCAACAGTTCATCGTTGTTTCAATTTTTATGTGTTTTGTGCTAAGTAGCAGCAGTACAAAACGTATATTGTCACGGGGTTGTCTATGTGTGTGTGTGTGTGTGTGTGTGTGTGTGCGTCCGCAGCAACTTGTTTGCAACTTTCATTCGGGAACCACAAAAGCTAGGAAGCTGAAAATTTAGGGGAACGTTCCCCTCTCACCTGTGAACCCGAAATTTAAATTCAGCCTCCCCCTACCCGCGGGTAACACGTATGGCCCTGTAAAAGTTTGGGCGAGTGAAATTATTATCACGGGAACCACGGAAGCTAGGAGGCTGAAATTTTGGGGACGATGTCCACTGCTCACACGCGACCTAGAAAATTTAAATTCAGCGTTCTCCTGCCACGAGTAACAGGAACGGCCCCGTAAAAATTTTCGTGGGTAAATTATTATCTCCGGAACTACTGAATATACGAAGCTGAAATTTTAGTGTAATTATCCCCTGCTCACGCTCGGCTTTGCCTATTCAAATTCAGCGTTCCCGCGCTTTCGAATATCACCTACTGCCCCGTGAAAATTTTGGCGGATAAATTGTTATCGTGGGAACCACGGAATCCAGGAAGGTGAGATTTTATGAGTATGTTCCTTGCTCACGCGTAACCTAAAAAGTTTAAATTCAGTCTTTCCGCGCCCGCAGGTAACATATACGGCCCGTGAAACTTTTGGAGGGTAAATTATTATCTCGGAGATCATAAAAGCCAGGAGCTAAATTTTATGGCAATGTCTTCTATCCACATACAACCCTGCATTTTTAAATTCAGCTTCCCGCGCGTCCGAGTATTACTTACGGCCTCATGAAAGTTCCGGTGGGGCAGTGAAAATCATGAGCAGGCAATTTTTCGGTGAACGGAATTGCACAAAACTCATGACCGCACCGGCTGCTCTGGTGTGTGCCGCTATTTATTATGTAGTGGAACGGTTTTTCCGCTTTTTACAATGGTTGCTGATTTCATGGCGAAGAATATTTCGTCACGAAAGCTCGAGCTCAGCAAAGAGAAATCACATTTTCTGAGTTCCGGTTTAGATGAGTTGGACGGTAATGCTAGA